TAATTTTACATCTAATGGTCAAGAGCAATTGTGACCTTCTTGTATTAAAAATAAATAATATCATTATATACTTTTTCCTTAGTGTCCAGTTGCAATAACGAAGTATATGGTGATCAGTTACCAAAATTGAAAAGGCAATTTTTCTATTTATAAATTACATTTCGTTCACACTTTAAAGTATGGTTTGGCATAAAAAGTTTCCTCCTAGAAAATTTTCTTTTGCCTGTTTTCTTCTTCTAAAGAAAGGCTGCTCTAATTCTCTATATCATATTGTACGCGTACATTTGTGCAAACAAGACAAGATAGATCGTTTATTTTTTTGTATCTTGAAGACAAATATATTTAAAAAACTTATATACGTACTAATTTTCATTAGAAATGAGCAAATATTATTTTGTGAAAGCGATAGCTTGCACTTGAAAACAAAAAGATCCTGAGTTCTTCAAAGTTTTCCAAAGTGTCTAATCAACTTGTCATCTAATCACTCCTGTTACACCCACCCGGTTCCAACATCAGCATAGTTTCTATTCCGTCATTATGAAAAACCTAATTCGATGTATTTTTAGGACCTTATATTGTAAAATCTTCAACCTAACAATTCAATGTAAAAAAAAGAAGCATTTTGCATTAGTTTGAAAAAAATAAAGTCTTAAATTGAACACAGACCATTCAATTTGGATGGTCACATAGAAGTGTATAGAACTTGGAAATCATCTTCTTAGAAATACTTTATCCTTGAGTGGATCTTAAAAATAAATGGTCAATAAGTCTAATGTCTCAAAAAGAAAATCAATGGGGCTTCTTTCATAAAGGATAAGGTTTGTATAAGGTACCCACTTTACATACAAGTACGGCACCCCTCAAATTTTGCCCCAAAGACAGTTCTAATGTAGGAAACTTTATGATGGCTCAAAAATCCATGTTCAACACTAACTACAAGATGCAATGTTTTTAGAGAGTGAAATTCTTTTTCTATTTATATACACATATCTCAAGGTCGAGATAATCACAAGGTTTTCTAACCTCAATGCATTGTTTTCCACTAATTTTTTAGGTGTACCCTACTTTATAGTATAAGATTGTACCATCATATGAAGGGTATGGTTTGTATAGAGCCGAGGCTCTAAACAATCAGAGTAAAACGCACCGTCAAATAGTGTCGAGAACCATGGTTTCAATACCGGAAATCTTCGTAATAGCCTTAAAATATTTTTTCATTCGTAATTATAAAATTTAAAGCTTAAAAAATAGTATAGATCTGGCAAATATATGAAAACTTAGAAATATTAATAATTGACGGTCCAAAAATGCAATACAAGATGTACTATTTCCAAAACTTGAAATCCATTTCTTTCTCATGTCGATGCATCTTGATGTCAAAATGATCAATTTGAGGATATTTGGGCATCAAAACAGCCTCTTCTAATGAAATTTTTAAGGTGAGCTCTAATTTGATTGTTTAGAGCATCGGCTCTATATAAACTTTTTCCTCATATAAATTTTGTTGCAGCATTACATAAATTTTTTCCTTACAAGTTTTAGCATAGAGGTAAGGTACACCTAAAAAATCTAGTAGAACAGAGCGTTCCAAAAATAGAAAACCTCCCAATTGATCATCTCCACCTTGAGATGTATGGATATTAAAGAAAAATAAAACAAATGAATTTCAATTCTTAAAATAGTGAATATCATCATAAGTTATCTAGATCGTTTATTTTTTAGATTTTCAAGTGTTCAGAGATCTACTATCATTTTTTGAACTCTAATTTTATAATAAAGGTTGAATATGGGTTTTCAAGTCATCTTAAGGTTTTCGATACCAAAACTACGTTTTCTTTATAACTTTTGGAGTTGTGCTATCTATATATATATATATATATATATATATATATATAA